CACACACACACACACATTCATATACATATATACAGAATTAACGTAAGTAATGTACATTAAACATTTTTTCAAGGGGTATTTTTTAAAAAGAATTAAAGATAACAGTGATATTAAAAGAACAATGATATTAAGTGTCACTTATTTTATCTGTTTCAATCTGTACTGTAACCAGAAATTGTGTCATTTTCAACAGTTGTCCTTACTTTCAAACTCTTAGGATTCAATGACCTTTTGCAGTATTGGTATTGTGGATTTGGTCAATGCTGATCTCTGGAGCATTAATGCTTTCTTTCCCAGCTACAATTGACTTTTGAAATCAGCCATACATGTCATTTAATGGGGGCCTGCTGATTCCATTGACATCGATGGACACTCAAGGCTCTGAAAAATGATCAGGATCCTAGGAAATCAATTGGGGTCCAGGCCTAGCAATCTCCTTGCTCCACAGCCACCCTACATTTTCCAGCAGTGCTGAAACTAACCATTTTTGGTGGCAACCAGGAGTGATGGTTTTGTGTAGAAGGACTAGATATGCAATGATGCATCTGAGGAAGTAGACTGAAGTCTACGAAAGCTCATGCTCCCAACTTCTTTATTTCAGTGTGTCTCAAAGGTGCTACAAGATCTTCTTACATAGGTGAGATCTGTTCAATTGTGGTATGTTAAAACAAATAAAAATAAATTCTGGGGCCAGAATTGTTCTTATTCTCAATGTATGCCTTTTAACCCAGGATCTGGCTGGTAGATCCTGAGTTTATGATAAGAAATTTCAGGCAGGCTTTTTAAAATCATGGCAGGTTGACTTTTATCTGGGGTATGTGTTTTTGATTAAGTTTTTTTTTTACTTTTGCATGTTTTTAATCTCAATTTTATATTGTTTTAACTAGGTTATTTTAATTGTTTTGAAAGTGTTTTTACCTTGTGAGCTACCTTGGTTTTCTTTTTGGAAGAAGGACAGCATAAAAATGAAATGAAGTAAAATAAAATAAAATAAAGTCTGTCAATC